AACTTCCCTGTTTGAGACTGAGACCAACGACGTCAGTGACTGCCAAACGCATGATGTGCGCACACCTTTTGCTGGTTGCATAGCAATGGGGACAGAAGTGGCAGTGACTTCAAGTGGCAAATGCATCCATTCCCTGACTTGCCGCCACGTAAAAAACAAGAAACACGTCCAGAAGTTGACGTTGTGTCACCATTGCCTGGCCTGAGCTGATAATAATTCAACGCCCGGAGTGGTCCCAATTATTTTCAATTCACCTTGCACAAACAACGACGAAAAATGAGACCGTCAACTGCCGCTGCAGTATTAGTAGGTTGGCTGGACCGATTGGACATTGGTTGTCGTCGATGTCCACTCTTCCTTGTTGGTTACTGTTGCCGCTGAGGTCGAACTACTGACTGAGTCCACTGAGAGGCGGCGGTTGGGCAGGATGATGTTTTTGTCAATGACCTTTCAATGACGTCACTGTATCCCCGGAAGTCGCTCAACCTTAAAGTCGCTCAACATGCGCACTTAAAGTGCACTTAAAGTCGTTCAACCTCGCCGCCAGCATCATGTCGTTGGGGAAGGAAAATGTTTTTTTCTTGAGACCGCTGACTGATGCAAGTAACCGTTTTCTTCGACAGTTATTGACTTGTTGATTGTTAATTGTTGCATATTGTTGCAGGGTATGACTTATAAGGTTTAGTGACAATAGCGGGCGCCCGGAGCTTTCGATGCGCAGCGCGTCATGGTTGAGTCGAGCATGGATTTGCTGATTGAGACGTTGGCATTACTTCACGAATTGAAGTCAGAGTTGAATGTGATGATCAAGCAGGTGGAGAAAGTGAGCAAAACCGTAGAACGCTTGGCAAACCAACGCGAGACTGGGGGTGACCGATCTCACAGAAGCAGGTCTCCCATTCCAGTGTCTGAAGAGACACGGCGGGAGCGTCAAATCTATCAAAGGAGAAGTTCGTTGTCAGCTACCCAGATTTTGTCATAACTTGACGGCTTGAGACTGTCAACCAACCTGCGCCGGGCAGACAAAAAAGGCACGACGCTGATGATGTCAATATCATTGCCATTTGTGATTGAGTTGCATCCGTTCATGTAATGATTGTCATTCTCATTAACAATTGTGTAGTACATTTGGTTGTCCCCGCTTTGGCCGAGGCCTGCCAGCAGCCGACTTGAGTCCGCAACTGTGATGATGCGTCAGCTCTTGCAGTGATTGACACTGTAGTTTGTTTTGAAGGAATCAAAGAATCAACTCTTGTCATGTGAGCAGCGTGATCTGTGGGTTTGTGATTCTGGTGCCAGTCACTGAAAGAGATCATATTGGTGTCAGTCATCCAGCCTTTCTCAACGAGCCCTTCTATTCATGAATGAACCCTGTCTTTGTCAATCAACAGTTCAGTTAATCAAAACAAACGTTTGCGGAAACTCAAGTCATATTACAAAATGTCATACTGGTGCAGTTACATTATTAACGCCGGGCCACCGGGGGTCTGTCATTGTCATACATTTACAATGTCAACACCAAGTCCCGATCAATCGCAGTTTTGACCCACATTCAAACTTAGATTTGCCCCATTAAAAAGACAAACAAAGTTTGGCTTTAACAAAAAGAAAACCATTGTCTATAACAGTATGGAGCAAACCAAGACAGAACACATCAAAAACGCACAAGTAAAAAACCTACTATAATGACAATGACAAGTTTCACATTTTCATTTTTAAAACAATGGTATCAGTTCATTGTACTGCATTTGGTGGTTGTATGTCCCCGCTTTGGCAGCCGGCACTGGACAGTTTCGCAGTTGAATAAAAATGATGAGTCAGCTCTTGCAGTCATTTGCATTGTAGTTGAAATTGATGTTTCAAGGAATCAAGGAACCAGCTGTTGCAGTTCATTGTCATTGTAAGTTTGCGTGTTATTCGTGTCAGAGAGCACTTTGGTGTTGGTTCAAAAATGTCCGTGGGGTATCGTCATTGTCATGGTTTAATGGCTGCAGTCATTTTGTCAGGCCCAAATTCTTCCGTCGGGTGTCATTGTCGTGACCATGTCCAGCCGCGCAGAACAGCTCAGGAGAATCGCTCGCGAGCAAAAGGCCCAGCAAATCCTCGAGCTCTCCGACGAAATTTTTGAGTTGCTGATGGCCATGTCCCCAATGCAAAGCAGGATGGAAATCATTGCGTACCAGCACTTCCACTTTGACGGTGGTGATTGGCATGGCATATACCATGCAAATCGCACTGTGTTGCGGGTACTACGTACCCCAGAGCTGGGCAATAGCAACTTCGCCAACGTCCTAAGGTTGCATGGATTTGCTTACGGTGATTTTTTTATTTTCCCCCTCCAGTGAGTGAATTCCGTTTGACTTGAGGACTTTTTTTACTGTTCCTGGTGAAGCAAATCCAAGGCTAGCGTTGCCAGCCTATGTTGATATGGAACCATGGTTGCATTGATCATTGTTGAGTCATTGTCATCCACATTTGTTGATTTGTCGTCATTGTCATGTCATTGTCACCTGTTTCGACTTTAGTAATAAAAGTAAACTGACTTTTTATTATGTCATTGTTATGTGTTCTTGTGTTTGGGACTTCCCGGACTTCCCACAAATGGATAGTTTCTGCAGCTTCCCTTGCTCTCGTCATCTGAGGCCCTGATGACCAACGACGAAACCCTTGGAGGCAGAATGGAAGGCTTCATGGCGTATGTTGCATTGAGCAATAATCCAGATTGCCACGACCCGGATGTAGTTGAATGGCTTGAAAATTGCCGCCGCCTATGCGTGGCTTTTCACAAATGGTCACACTTGTGCCATTTACAAGAGAGAATCACCAGCTTCGAAGATGTCGAAGCAGTCAGTGGCAGATTCTCATTTTTGGCTTTGCCGGCGCCGCCTTAGGCCGGTAATTTCAAAGGGCACTCGGCAGCGTCTTTCATTGTTCAACAGTTCACTCTCCTTCACTACTACTGTGTTCACTACCCAGTATTTCAAACCAGTTTCACTGCCCTGTGTTCATTACCCTGAGTATTACTGTGTTCACTGCCTTAAATTAAAATACAAACCACTGACTGTTACTTGGAATTGTTGCCGGAAGTGCCCTTTGCTTAGTAGGCTCGGCTTAGCTTTTGAAACGGTACTCACAAGTCACCAGGTGACCTCACACATACATGACAATGACGAGTGACTGGAGTACCAAGCTGAAAAGCCTGGCTGGAATAACAAACCATAGTGTTTGTCGTCGCTGGATCTGTGGAGCGCGGTGGAACATCAGCATTGAGTTTTGGTGAAATTGCATAAACATGTCAGTCATCATGTCATTGACAGTGAATTGATACCGCTTGTCGTTGTTATAGGATCATTGTCATTGATGTTTCCTGTTACAAATGTTTTGTGTAATTATGTTTGGCGTAAATCTGCTGAGTTTCTGACTTGTTTTTTCGTTTTGTGGCATTGGCCTTGCTCCCCAAACAAACAATACTTGTCATAATTTTGTCAACTAACTTAGTTAATTTAAATGCCTGGACTTTTCAGAATAGCTAGACTAAGACCAGTGAAATGTCAAGTCTTGAAAATTGCATGGGGATTATTAAGCGTTTCAGCTTCTTGTGAAAATTTGGAGCGGCTCATGTGTCCTCAATTTCCGGACTTTTCCGGACCGAGTTGAGAATCTTATGGGGGCTAAGATCAGTCACAAGCTGGGTTGAAAAGCTGGGAGGACTCAATCAGGTTGAGTTAAGAATCTTGGGGGATTTGTTGAGGCTCAATGATCAATCACAGCTTGAGTTGAACAGCTGGCGGGGCTCAGGTTGAGAAGCTGGGGGGAATCACTGGTCAACCACGGGTTGAGTTGAAAAGCTGGGAGGGCTCAGGTTGAGAAGCTGGGGACTTAATGGTCAAATTGAAAAGCCGGGAGGGCTCAGATTGAGAAGCTGGGGGATCACTGGTCAACCACGGGTTGAGTTGAAAAGCTGGAAGGGCTCAGGTTGAGAAGCTGGGGACTTAATGGTCAAATTGAAAAGCCGGGAGGGCTCAGATTGAGAAGCTGGGGGATCACTGGTCAACCACGGGTTGAGTTGAAAAGCTGGAAGGGCTCAGGTTGAGAAGCTGGGGACTTAATGGTCAAATTGAAAAGCCGGGAGGGCTCAGATTGAGAAGCTGGGGGATCACTGGTCAACCACGGGTTGAGTTGAAAAGCTGGAAGGGCTCAGGTTGAGAAGCTGGGGACTTAATGGTCAAATTGAAAAGCCGGGAGGGCTCAGGTTGAGAAGCTGGGGGATCACTGGTCAATCAACAGATTGAGTTGAAAAACTGGCAGGGCTCAGGTTGAGAAGCTGGGCAATCACAGGTTGAATTGAAAAGCTGGCAGGGCTCAGGCTGAGAAGTTGAGTTGAAAAACTGGCAGGCTTTAGCCGAGAAGCTGGGGGAAAAAAAATCCCCTTAACAGCCACCCAGTAGCTTATTCTCAGTAGACTATGTAGACTTATGCAGCAATGTTGAAAAGTCTGTGCCGTTGTTTCTCCGCGCCATGATGACGAAACACTGTGCCTCCACTGTCACTGAAGATCGGCCAACTCATTCAGTCCAATGAAGAATCCTCAGCATGTGCCTCCACCGTCCGCTGTTTCGGATTGTTTGATTCACCGGCGAATGCCAGATACCTCGGAGGTGAAGGGTCTTGGAGGTGAAGGGTACTTCCAGAGAAACCGTCTCTACTTCGGACATCCAATTTGGATGGTGAGAACATTCAACTGCCACTCCACCCTCATGATGAGGCTCCAAAAGAAGGGCAGAAACACAGCCAGTCAAAGGCCGAGAAACATCGGGCGACGCTGACCCTGTCAGGCCGTGTCGGGTTAGTCCAATGTTCTGGTTTTTGTTGGGGTTGCATGCCTTCATCCATCGTCATCCTGCACTGAAGTAGGGAAAAAACATTGAACCAAAAACCGAAAACATTCGCCAAAAACGTGGCTTTTTCGTCTTTCGTCTCTTGGTCCCTTCGCCTTGGAGGCGTCCCGTGCAGCTTCACGTCCGCAAAGCCGCGGACGCAGACGCGGCCGCGGCGGCATCCGCGCGCTCGTCCTCGGGGGGCGAGTTTGGAAGCGGGAGACTCGCACGGGTCATTTGTCATAGATGCGCTGCGGGGGCAAATGGCCGCCCCCAAATGTTGAGCAGATTTAGATAGGATGTCGAGTCTGATTTGAGTTTGAATCGAAATTCATAAACCGGACAATTGTTGACAGCGAGTTTGGTACGAATTGGTAAGACTTGAGTTGTGGGAAGGAAGCCATGGGAATCTGGAGAAGCAATGCCTAGCACAAACAGAGAAAGACTCCAGTTGCTTCCCATTGCCAAGGAGAACTTTTGCAAGGAAACACTTCCTAGTTTGGCCTACCTTTCCCAAGCTCTCTTTTGGCCCAACTTGGGAAGGACGTCTACAAGGAAACGCTGCCTACCCGAAAGGAACGATACCGTGCTTTGGGAGGCCTTCGCCTGTTGGCCGCATGTTCACATTCTATGTCATGCTCTATCGATATACATGTTCAATCCACATGTTCTATCTTTGGATCTAGACCCAACTTCAATCATGGGATCTGGCGCCCTAATGCGAACCGAGGATGGCAAGACTTCCAAGAGAAGCCCCTTGGATGCAGTGCGCAGGGATCGGACGTTTGGGCGTGACAAAGTGGCCACACCCGACATCCAGTCTAATGCCGAAATTTTAAACTCCTAAGGACGCTACTAGGGACTCCTGGCCTTACTACTAGGAACAAGAAGCTACGAACGGGGCTCCTGGCATTGCTACGAACGGAGCAAGGACGCTATTAGGGGCTCCTGGCCATACTACTAGGAGTAAGGTTCGCTACCAGGAACAAAGGGCATCGCTACTAGGAGCAAGGACGCTACTAGGGGCTCCTGGCATCGCTACTAGGAGCAAGGACGATACTACGGGCTCCTGGCATCACTACTAGGAGCAAGGACGCTACTAGGGGCTCCTGGCATCACTACTAGGAGCAAGGACGCTACTAGGGGCTCCTGGCATCGCTACTAG